TTTAGAGTTTAAGGTTTTAGGGTTTTGGGGTTTGGGGTTTAGCGTTACTTCTTCGATTTCCCTTGAAGAGGCAGGGTGGAGGCACCGCTAAGTCCCGAAAGCAGGTCCATCGGGCTGATAAAGATCCGAAGTCAAAGACCATGTCTTTTTGGGCCTTCTTCTTGATAGGGCTTCACTAAGGCTTTGTAAAGCTGTTCGTAAGGGTTCCCAGAGTTCAGACGGCTCCGTAAGTGTTCCATGAGGCTTCCTTGCACCTGGACGATTTTTGGTGCTTTTTCTTGGCGTTCTTGAACCTTGCTTCCAGTGTAAACACAATGCAACATGTGTACTCTACTGGCTTGGAGATCAAGCCAGGGTTGTGAGAAACCGGAGTTTGCATGGCTTCATCCACTGCTTTGAAAAATAGAGGTGGTATTGGAGAACCCAGCACTAGGAATGATAATGCTGAGTACTCCGTGACTTTACCCCGTAAACCCTAAAGCTGTATATACCTTTGAACCTCTGCTTCCATCATACCAACCCTGAAAGCCATACACCCCGAAAAAACCCTGAAGACCTAAAGCCCTAAGCCCTAAACCCCAAACCCAAAGCCCTGAAGCCCTAAAGCCCTAAAGCCCTAAAGCCCTGAAGCCCTAAACCCGAAACTTTTAACCCCTAAAGCCCTAAACCTTGAAACAAACCCTGAGGACCTTCCATCTCTTGGCGGCCGACGCCACGTTCCGCAGGCGGATGGCACCTTCCTGCTGGGCTTGCGTCATCGGGGGGGTAGAGGGGGCCTCAATACCTGTAATAAGGACCTAAAGGTTAAAGGGTCCCCTACTCAGCCCCTCAAGCAAGCCCCAAAAGTTGGAAACCGGATTCGGGACAAATAGTGCTGGTATTCCATATACATGACTCTTAAAGATTGAAGTGCTTGGGTTCCCAACTTTTGGGCTTCTGCCGTAGGGGCCATAATAAAACGGATCATATTTTTGAATCCTTAGTAAGGCTTTGTTTATAACAAAAATGACTGTTAACCTTCGGAGCAACATTGCGTCCAACAAGGACCCAGTTTTGGGCTGGTCTGGTGCTCCCCTGAAATTGCTTTAGCACATAGGGTTTCCTAGAATAAGTGGGGGGTTTTAGGGTTCTGGGCTTCTGCAATGGCGGACGTCTAAGGTTGCGGGCTCCTAGAATCGTTTTAGTTGGGGTTTCGGGCTCCTAAAATCGCAGCTTTGTGAGGTTTCGGGATCCTAAAATAGGGTTTTTTTTAAAGAGGGCTCGGTTTAGGGTTTAGGGTTTAGGGTATTTCGACTGAGGAGCTCGGGCTTCGAGCCCGTGGTAAGTCCAAGCCTTAGCCTTAGGGGGCTTCAGGGTCTACAGTAGGCTTAGATCGGGTTGTGGGGTGTTGGAGCTTTAAGGCAAAAGGCCTGAAAGGGTTTTAGCATTTAGGGTTCCTCTCCCTAAACCTAAGCCCTAAAACCCTAAACCCTTCAACCCCAAAACCCTTCAACCCTTAAACCCCAAAGCCCTAAAACCCTTAAACCCCAAAACCCTTAAATCCCTAAAACCCTTAAACCCCTACATTTTCAAACGCTCAGACTGACGGCCTGTGAAGCTCGAAAGTCCTTCCTTCCCCCCTCTGAAATCCTAAAACGTAGGTTCCCCAGTAGCCCCTCAATAATAAGGGTGCCCTTTTTCCTACTGCTTGGTTTTAAGAAGGGAGCCCCAAAAAGACAAAGGGCAAAAGAGTACTACTCGGGAACCTCGCAAAAGGTAGGTGTGGATCTGACACAGCCCTCACGATGACGCTTAGGGTCTTAGGGTGGTTAGGGTGTTTAGGGTTTAGGGTTTTGGGTTTAAGGGTTTAGGGATTAGGAGGATTGAGGGTTTAGGGTTTGGGCTGGAGTGCTTGATGACGTTTAGGGTTTAGGTGGCGATGACGCTTTGGGTTTAGGGGGCTAGAGTGCTTGATTCAACCGTTCTGGTAGGGGAATCTGAACCCAGTGCCGGCACCAACGAAAACCCTAAACCCTAAACCCTAAAGTCTGTAAAGCCTCGGCCTGCCAGAGCTGAAACTTCCGGATCTTGTTCCGAGTTGCCTCTTCAACCCGAGCTTTGTAAACCCTAAACCCCTAAACCCTAAACCCTAAACACTAAACCCCTAAACCCCTAATCCCTAAACCCTAAACACTCAACCCTTAAAACCCTACACCCTAAACCCTAAACACTAAACCCTCAAACCCCTACACCCTAAACCCTAAACACTAAACCCTAAACCCCTAAACCCTAAACCCTAAATCCCACAGTCCAGGCCCTCGTTTGGACTTGCCAAGCTCGAAGAATCAAGCCCTGAAGCCTGAATCCTAGATGCAAGCTTCACTCTTCAAGGTAACTGTAAGCCTTAGGCTCACACTCCTACGGATGATGATGCAGAGCCCGATAGAGCAGCTCGAGGTCGGAAGTATTCCGCCGTCCCAAACCGGTCACTCATGATGATGCAAATCCTGCATTACCTTAAGGACCCTGAACTATGGGAGTTATGGTCTATACCTTATTATGGGTACTGCAGGACTTATCTCATCAACCGTAGAATCTTCAACCCGAAGCCCGGCAGGTGCCTGCATCCCGGGAGTAGTTGTCCAAAGCTCCCCCGGCACTTCAGGCGTGCACCTGACAGCTAGTGTAGGCCTTGACGACGAGACCGCCCTTTCGGGACTGTTACAAGGTTATCATCCCTCTTTTCATAACTTCAGAACCATACCAGTGAACAGACAGATGGCTTTGGGTGCAAGGTTTTCGAAAAAGGGTTGTAACTTGTCACTGGTTCTGTTAACAGATGCAAAGCGTTTGTATGGCACTGATGTTAGCGGCTGTACCGAGCTCCGCCATAACATAAAGGGAATCATAATCACGCAAATAATTTATGGCAACAACAGAATTGAAACGATGTTGTAACTGTATCGCTTTCACAGCGGCTCATTCTTCTAGTTAAACGCTTAGAGCCCTCAAGTAATCATGAAACGACAGAGAGAGGGCAAGGGCTTGCGATCGGCTCAGGGCCTTCCAGATAAATTGCAAAAGTTAAACCAACTTGGTAACTCAAGGACCCCCAGCCAAAACCAAAACCGTCAACTTTATGCCAAAGGCTCCACTATCCCTCAATGATGCCAGGGTCATGGGGTAGGAACAATAGGAGGTCCTCATTGAACGGAGGCGGACTTTCAGCACTTGAATGTTCCTTAGGAAGGAGCCCGAAGAAGGATCCTCCATGTAAGGACTCTTAAAGACAAGGACCGAAAATTAACAACAATGCCATGAACAATCGAGTACCATAGCAATGCCTAAAACAACATTGGTATCAGAAGCTTTTGACCCAAACACATAACTCAAGGACCCCAGCCTAAACCCAGCCAAAACAGAAACTTTGAGCCAAAGGCTCCTCTATCCCTTAATGATTTCGGGGTCATGGAGTAAGAACAATAGGAGGTCCTCATTGCAAGGAAGTGGAGTTTCAGCAGTTGAGTACGTACCCGGGGACGAACCCGAAGAAGGATCCTCCAGAAACAAACGGACCTTAGTTTTCAACAAGAATGCCATGACCAATCGAGTACGTACCATAGCAATGCCAGAAACAACATTGGTATCAGTAGCGAAAGGAATTAGCGATAATGATCATAGCAGTTCCCGGGCGGGCAACGTGCAGCATTGGTCTCAGCTAGAAGCTCACTGGGCGCGCGGCAGCTGGGAACGGCGCTAAACTCAACACCGCAAACCAGAGACCAAACCCAGGCTCCCCAAGGAAAGCACAAGATTTCAAAGAACCCTACGCAACCGTAGCAGCAGCTAACACCACCCACATGCAGTCGTATTCACACCAAGACGCAAAAAGACCTTCACCCAAATGCATACACTAGGTCTTCTCCTTTCCAGCACGCTCCAGCATCTACCTGTTCAGATGTGAGGCTACTAGAAGAAGTCCACCGATTCACCATCGTTCGTGGAGTCAAAAGCATCGAAAAACTTCAGGAGGAAGCTCCGACCTTGTTTAAAAACATTGCCTTCTCCGGCAATTGCTCGAACGTCCACTCGTATATTTAAGCGCTCATCAGGAAAATGCTCCTGAAGGGACCGGAAGCAATACAAACGACGATTGTTGACTGTGTGGTACCTGTTATGATAGCGCAAAACCTGTAGTCTCGGGTAGCGGTGGCGGCATTCAGGATTCTGCTTTAGCTTCCTCACCGAGTCGTCTAGCCCGCAGTGGTTCCTGAATGTGCGTCTGATCCTGGCATGTGTGAAGAAGATCTCATCCGGATTCAGCCACCATTGACCCGACCACAAATGGTACTGAAGCTGCTTCTGGGCCGCAGAGTAACTAGCGGCCTGCAAGATGCCTTCGAACTGTCTGGCGCAGTGGCGACATTGCTGGATGCTCTCGCAGCAGCTTTTCCACGACTGGAAGGCTTCAGCCTGTGACTGTGCAGCGTCGAATCGCTGCATGGACTCACTGATGCGCACGTGTAGCACACATTCCTTCAAACGGTCCGTTCGTAGATGGCTGTAAAGTCTGGCTGTCTGAGGCTGAAGCACTCTTTCCCAGAGAAACTTCCGCCAGAGCAACTCATCCTTGTCATTGACCAGTTCCCATCGCAGGCTTGCGCCATCGAAGCGAACCAAGTGCTGAGCAACCTGCTGCAAGGTGTGGCTGGCATCTTTGTGAACTCCACCACGGTGGCTAAGAGCAGCCCGTTGCCTTAGAAACTCCGCAACCAAGTCTTTGAAAGCTGTCTTCTTGCCATTATCAGTCATAGCCTTGAGCCGGCGCCCATCCAAGCAACGACTTCCGAAGGCTTCGCATATATCTCGTTCCCTTGGCCGCGGGGGCACCATCTGCCCCGACTGTTGTGGCGGCTCATTAATGGAGATGAAGCCACCTTGGGTAGTCTCGAAAAGAAGAGTGTAATGGTGAGCTCTTGCAAGGCTTATGAGCACACGGAAATCGCCGCAGCCATACAGCACGAAATGAAAGGCTGGCCTTTGGGTCCATGGACACTGCGCTGTAGGATGGAGTTCACCGTGGATGCTGCTGAGATGCATAAGGTCGCAGGCGTCTTTGAGCTTGTCGAAGTTCTGCAAACCACGATGCAAATCAACATGCTGAGACAGGTCAACACTTGTTCTTTGGCTTTGAAGGAGTTCTTCCCACGTTTGCAGCTTGAGTTTGTGCAGCTCCGACTTGGAAGATGCATTTGACGAAGTCTTGTGCCTCTTGGCCATATGCGTCTCTTCGTCGTGTTCGCAGGGCCATGCGACAAAAGCTCATCATCAAGAGTACCATCGCCGCGATCGCCTGGACTTGAACAGACAGTAAGAGGCCGTCCACTCGTGCGCTCGCGTGCGTTCACTGTGTGTTGCCATGAAGTCCAGTCAAGCCCCGGTCTCTTCGATGGCTCTTTCTTTACACCATCCACTCGCACGGTTCCTTGACAATGATCCCACTGCACGGGGGTGCCATCGAATGCCTGAAAGATTTGCAGTGCATCCTGCCCCCCCAGCCATGCCACCTTCTTGCGATGGGCCTTTCCTCTTAGATGCTCCGCGAGAGTGTCTAACGCATCCGGGTTATACCTAATACTCGGATTTTTGGGATCCCGGAGCAGCCTCTGGCAAGGCTCGCACTTCAGGCAATCGTAGCGGTGTCCCTCTGGCGCATGGCTTCGGAGCTCCTTGTACAACACATCGGTACCGACTGCCATCTATCTTTGGCTCGAAGCCAAAGCCCCCCAGGGATGTGATGCATATTCCTGATATTATGCACTACTCAGTACTCGCTGACCTAGGTAGGCGAAAACAATCCTAATTGGGTTTACGACACTTATAACTTTATCTGGGTTGGCCCTTTAAAGCCTTCGAAAACTATTCCTAGACAGGGCCCTCTTAAGCCCCAATAGGGGAACATGTACAATGTCCCAAAGGCCTAC